CACATGTTATCATATTATTTCTCATTGGTAAAACTGATAATTAAACCAAAGCATTATAATGATTTATTTGTAGGGTAACACCTTCTAGACTATATATTTGTGTTCAAATAGTCATAAAAATAGGTAGTTGATTTATCATTGTCAAGGCTTGATACAGGAAGAAGAAGTAAGGTCTTTGAACTATGCTTATATTTACCTCATTGTTGTTTCTTATCATACGTATCAAGCAATAAAAAGATACAGAAACTCTTTCAAGTGTCATCCAGCATCCTTAAGCTAAGACAAATCCAATATTTATTTTGTCGTTACCTTAAATATTCAAAACTTGTTTATTCCAATGATTGTGTAAGTACATTCTCAGTTATGTCCTTTGCACGTCAAGTTTGATAGTTTTTAATCAATTGTTTCAAACTGATGTGTCATGAATAAAAGCCGTTGATAGTAAAAAAAAAAGACATCAAGAAAACTTAAAAATAAAACTACATTAAGATGGATTGTGCAATAAGTGATTTAATTAGCAAGTATTCAGTTCACTAGAGTATCTTAAATGTGTTCCTAAACTTTTCCGTGTAGTATATAACAACGAACTCTCACAATAATAGATAAGACACGACTGATCAGATCAGCAAACGACGTTATCTAGTATGCAAGTATTTCGCAACCCCCTTTAGGGTTTGTGGCAGAGCTGGATTGCTAAATGTATAGGAATGAGTAATAAAGGAAAGAAAACCCAGCCATAATCTGTGCATTATGTACATGTTGCAGTTTCTGTCAGGCTTTTAAAAGCAGTCTCTTGGAAACATGCGAGATTATTATAATTTACATTTAGTTCATATTTTATAACTTTGTTGATATTTTTTTTAAAAATAACGTGAAACATATCTGTAAAAATGTATTTCTTGTCACAAGGTAATCGTATCTCTGTCAGATTCTGACAAGAGTTATCGATGTTAACGTGCTGTTAAGTATTTGGTTCTGTCCTCGGCGAATTGACAATGAAACTGGTACCGCGATACGTCTTGGCGTACTCGGCACTGTAACTGCACCTTTAATGGTCAACTTCTCGGGTCAAGTCTTATATTTTGAAAATTCTTTGTATAGAACCCGCTCCCATGACTGATTAAAAAATTGTATTGTGCCATATGCAGCTTCTATTTCTCAATGAAATTTCATCATTAAAAGAAAGCTAGCACAAACATGGTTGCCAATTCTTTTGAGTTAAAGTTTAAAATCTAACAGCATACACAAACTTTAAGCTTTCAATAATTAGTTTAACAATTTTCTTCAAAAGGCAATCGCCTAATTTGGGACAGTCGTAAACAAAACTTACCTGTAATATATTTTAATTATATCTTTGTATATCTGTAATTTTCTCCAGCCTGGATTATTCCGAAGGGTTATAATGATAAATGTACAGAGGTGCAGTTCGTTAGTTCTAAAGATCCGATGATTATTTTTTTCTTCAATGATAAAATTCTGTTCTTATTTAGTCATATATATAGTCTTGTTTCCTATATTTCTAGGGACAAATTCTAGCACAAAATGGAAAATGTAGTGATTTTGTTTTCTCAGTAGAAAGTTCTTTTCCACTTATCTACAAGACTGAGATCCAGCACAATACGTTCCGTCAAGACTTATTATGTTTGTTTTCTTCTACTATTATTTTGTCCGCAATAAAATTAGTTTGAAGAGTTTTCAGCCAGTTCTTCAAGACTGGAGTACACTACATTTAGTAAGAATTAGACAGCAAGAGACATCTACGACACGACCGATTTCGCAAATTAATCAGTCGGTGGTCCTTTCCGCGGATTTCCCGGTTTCTTATTCCACCATTAAGACTGGCCGCAATGTATAGCCTATCGTGTGCTGAAAAATGGCGTTAAGCCCACCACAACAACAACAACATCAATAACAACAACTATTCGTTCGAGAAGCAGAAAGACTTTTTTCTTTCCTTACAGGTAAACATTATCTGCGTCCGTAAACTCTTTAAACTATATGAACCTTTTCATGTTGGATTTTCACGGTAAAAATCAGTCTAGACTTGATATTTTTTGTAACATTTTGTGAGTTTTTACTATTAAAATGTATTTGAATAGTTTATTATTTAAAAAAAACAACTTGTATTTGTTTGTATTCAATTATGTATAATTGGACAAGACTAATTCGCTACCAACTTCTTGTTTAGATTTAATCTGGAAATAAAAGATTCTTTTAGTAAAAAAAGAACAATGTTTTAGTAACGTTTTCCAAATTAGTAACCTTTTATAAATTTAGTAAAACACATTTCTTAAAAACGATTGTTGCATTATAACACAACTATTCTATTGTATACCCTTTTGCTATCATGAACTATCTGTAATATATACAAAAAGGCAGAAATTATGCAAATGTAGGAAGTAGTATGTTTGAAGGAAAAACATAACTTATATGCAGGTCACTTATTTTAAATATAAAGGCTTATAACATGTATTTACAGAATGTAACACTATTTCGTACAGCGATACCCATCGGATCTCTAACATTACCTAGTTCACCAAAAATGTATCTTTATATACACGGTTATGAGTGACATCTACATCTTTAGGAGAGCAAAATCTTTCTCTCTGTCTTCCCTGCCTAGAGTTTATGAGAAAAGTGTCATAAAATATCGAAAGAAGTTAATCATATTCCTAAATCTATTAAGTCTTCTTTTCGGTAGGATTCAAGATATATTTGTTCCCCAATATAAGTGACACATTTATTAAATTTGTACGACTTGCAGCCCTTGCAATGTGTTTCTGACAATCATAAGGGTGAGAAAAACGTAATTACATTCGTATTTGTAGCGTCTTTCTGGACACAAATTGCAACTTTTATCGAACAATTAACTCACCAAAAATTTGAAATTCATTATAAAAACGTTACGTCTGCTGCTGTGCCTTATCTATTTAAACTATCGAATGATAGCGAATATATATGTACGAGCTTCTTGGAGGATTTTGATCAGGGTATGTTTATCTAATATCAGGCTAATAGACTAAAAGTCTTACAGGTCATGCATAAGTTCAACATTGGTTATTTCATTAATGGGAGTTATTTCTGACAATTTGATTCTACATACCTTTAAATGACAGTTAATCACATTATTTGGATCCTAGTATATCCAAATACCTCTTCAAGATCATTATTTATACTCCGCAACGTCAAAATCAGTGTTAAAGTACCTTACAAATTTTGGACGATGTCAACCTATATGTATGATCCGGTATAGTCTTGATTGAATGTCACGCGCTGTGATGTTGCAACGAAAATTACTCATTGATACACAAATTTGTACTACCATATATTGTGAAGACTCTGTATGTGTGTGTGTTTGTGTGTGTGTGTGTCTGTGATTGGATTTTCAACACAGATTTAACAATATTTTAATCATATCCCTGCGATGTCTGCAATTTGGCAGTTTATATTGATGTCAAACTGACATGTAGCACGATGTCCCACCGAGTCACATTATCATGACACCAGGCCCATCAGTCCTAAGACTAACTTTTTTGATGCCGAGCGTCTAGCGAGACAGCTGTTCCTACCATATTTTAAGTCGTTGGTTGATTGATTGATTGATTGATTGATTTAATTTTAACGGTGCACCAGTAGTTTTAGGCTATTTAGCGCCATACAGTAGGTCATATTTGTAAAAAGAAAGGTTCAATATCGACCAGCGATATAGTAAAAAATCCATAGTAGTTAAATATAAAATGGTAAATGTTGGTAACAGTTAAAGATATTGGTTCCCGATCAACGGGAAATGTAAATGATGTATCTTGATGAACGATGTAAATAATAGTTGGTATTTGCATTAGTTAAAAATTAGTTTGGGTAAGATCATACAGTTACAGTTTAAAATAAAGATTTACTTCCTTTAGGAAATGTAAAATACTAGTGATTTGAGTAGTATCAAAAAGTTCCTGCATGTCGTGTACATTATAGTATTTATCACGCGTAGGTTGCAGGTCGGAACACGTGGTCATAAAGTGTTTAACAGTAAATGGTACATTGCAAGGAACGCACTCTGGTGGATCTTCACCTTTTAGTATGTGTGAGTGGGTAATGTATGTATGACCGATTCTGATTCTTGCAATGACAACCTCCTCCCTACGAATAGTTCTGTAGGAAGGAGTCCATTCTCCCAAGATTGGTTTGATGGCATGAAGTTTGTTATTGATTGCATCATCCCATGATACCTGCCACTTTTGACGTAGATACTTTTTGATACAAGGTTTAAAATCAGAATATGGTAATTTAAAATCCGATGGTTCTAAAGATAGAGCCATCTTAGCAGCCCGGTCTGCTTCTTCGTTACCTCTAATGCCAATATGGCTAGGTAGCCAACAGTATACTATATTGCATGAGGCACTAAGCTCAGAGTTTTTGACCCGAATATGCACCAATAGTGGATTATCTAGTTTGATTTTGTATAGCGCCTGAAGCACTGATGATGAGTCACAGAAGATAATACAATTTAGAATGTGTTTAGATTCAATTAATGTCAGAGCAAGGTCTATTACTCTGATTTCCGCTGAAAAATATGGATGCATCATTTGGCAAACGCTCTTTGGTTATGAGTTTGCCACGGACGAAGGCTTCAGCAGCCTTATCAGCAACTTTTTATCCATCAGTATAAAATTTAGCATAATGTGTAAAGTCATTGAGAAGATCATAATAAGAGTTCAAGAATAGGATAGGGTTTGTCTCAGATTTTTTCCGATCGTGTAACGTAAAAATCACTTGGGGTTGCTTAATGAGCCAAGGTGGTGTTTTCGAGACAAAATGTTTTCTGGATTGAAGATAGATTACATTTGATTTGGTCAAAGCAGGATGATATTCTGAAACTAAATGAAGGTATAGCATTTGGTTTATTTACGTATAAAATTTTGTAATTTGGATGAAAAACGGGTGAAAAGCAGGGTTCAGAGAGTTGGATCGTAACTTAAGAGCACAATGTGCATTAAGTCGTTGGTATGACTGGATCGTGGTTCGAGCCCGCAACCTCCAGCATCCGAGGCTGACGCTCTAACCACTAGGTCACCAGAGCGTCCTCTTGTGAAGATTAGGCTCGACGTGCTTTTTTCTTGACCGAGTTTAGTACCTTGCCACTATTGATAAAAATCATAACTATTAGTATCAGGGATGGAAACCGTACAACATTTTTGACAGGGTCAGTTCACAAAAATTAAGATTCCTACAATAGGCTGAAAATACAAGGTCAATAAAGACAAACCGGAGCCTTTAACCTACCGAGATTTCTCCAATTGGATTAGGATTCATGTTAATTTAATTTTGATGCTTTTGATTTTATTTTCTTTCTTTCGGCGTGTGTGATTTCTCACCGCACACTCAATTTGTTTAGTTCACCCTCTCTGCTGCTGAAAATTAAATCATCAGTCCAATAATGGAATGTCACACAGCTAGATTAGCTCGAGAGCGACTAGTGGCAATTAAAAATTATCTCCCGATCCATAATTATGTCAGGCATCAATTACAGGCGCGTCAGGAGACTCAGGTGAAATTTGCAGAAGGTACGGAACAGCTTTTAAAACCAATTATCTAACCAACAAAGAAAATTGTTACATCAATCGAGGCAACATAAAAAAATCTTAAAACATTGCCTTCTTCAAGCAAATCAACCACTGACCGGGTAACCTCCTCAACCACAACCTGAAGATTAGCAACATACTCTGCCAAGAGTCAGAACCAAGATAACATAAAAATTTACGCCGGAAGGTACTGCCGTTATCAAGAACCAAAACCAATCATTTGATATTGCAACGTTTGGATATCGCGATAGAGAGAAGTATGTAAAACATGATTATATTAAAATTCTAAAATCTGCCGATTGAATTTGTGATCTATATGGCATCGCTACTGATACACCGCAAATCAGATCTGAGGAAGATATTAATTAGTGTAATAATTTCATCCAGACAGTTAATGAACATATTGCAGAAGAAAAACAAAATGAAAAGGATACAAAGAGAAGAGTAATTATAATGCAGCTTAAAGACGCTAAATAAAGACGGAAATTATTAGCAACGACTAGTAAAAAAAATATACAAATGCTGGAGCCGCTGCCACTGGAGATGGTCTTGCTAATGACAAAATCTATGAAGTAGAAGAATTATATAACCTACAGCAACCAGTAAAACAAGAATTTGGAAAAGAAGCGGCATAGGAAGTTGCAATAAAAGCCCAACGAACATCTTAAGAAGAAAATCGATAAGTATCTAAAACAACCAGTAACGAACGAAAAAACTTGAAGTGGTCTTATTATTCCATGCCCCAGCAACGTTCTTGCCTACGTGGACAGTCTAGAAATTCTGATTGGCGGAAAACGAGCTGGTAATAATTTTCTAAAAATCATTAATGAAGCAGATGATATTTGTCAGATATTATTTACAGGTGGTATCATGCACATTAATGTTTATCGGTATATCATCGATGAAATCACCGATGATTATTTCAGTGATTGACGGTATACAATTAGATCAATAACAAGAATATAAGATGATCATGCATAATGCTTAAAGTGGACTTTTAATGGTGGTCAGGTTACAAATTGGCAATTACCAACTTAAAAAGCTATCTACGGTGATGGATATATGATGATGTTTAAAGTCTATTCAGAAGGATAGCCCCAAAAGCAATATCGATTGCAAAGCAACTGGGAATGAAAGCTATTGACATTGTTCGTGAAAAAGGTATTGGTGCTCGTAGTGATATTGCCAGTAAAGCAATCTCAGCAATTAAGCATAGACTAATACAATTAATACAACGAAAACCTCCGCCAGTATAATTACCCAGCACTGAAGTGATGCCTGCAAATGTTAGTAAATTAATAAATAAAGCTGCAAATCAAAAACTTGCAAAGTTGTCTGGTTTACCCCTATCAAAAAAGAAAAAAACTGCTAGTCTGATAGCAGAAAGTGGTCTTTGTGTTAGACGATAACAAATATTATAAAATGTATAAACGTGTATCCAACGCAGAATTTGATATAAACGCACCAGTACTCAAGGATGAGTCTGTGCGTGATTATCACTAGTATTCTTATGAAGCACGAGAACCAGACAAACGTGCACGAATCTAACTACAAGTCCAGGATACATTGATATATATTCTACCCTCTGAAGCATGTATTGAAGTTTAGGGTAGACTCATAATAATGACGATAATCCTTATGGTGATGAGCAGTGTGGTTTTGTTAATAGATGAATTATATTATTATTTAGACGTGCACGATATATTATTGATGAATAAGAAATCTAAGCATGTCTCAATAACACTAATGTTGCTACGGCAATATTGGGGCTATCCCGATACAGCGACGATTATTCACGGTACGCTGGTTCGTCAATGTCTGCAAAAGATATTGTTGATCGCGCTGAGAGCCGACCTTATACGTTTCGACACCCCCTAAAAAGATGCTACTGTGGCTGACGACGCCAATATTGAAAGCTTATTCTTTGTAAATGCAAAGTTTAATCTGGAATTTGCAGCTCGTAAAAATCAAATTAATGCTCAGGGGAGGTTTAGCTGTGCAATACCACCGTCACATATCTTTGGATTTTGCAGAAATGTTAGAAAAATCTTTTTTTGGGGGCAAAACATTCAGTAGTTCTTGTTCAAAATGGCACAGTCGACGATGATATTAGGCAACTTAAAAGAGTTGAGCCAGCTGCAACCGCGGAACGTTATGGAATTGTGATACGGACAAAGCATTCTTTGTGGATGCTAATAATGACACCATCAATCGCTGAATAACAACGGCAGATCTCTTTTTTGGGCTGCGGCGGAAAATCAACGCTATCATGTTGATAATGACTACAGACTCGAACACGAATACAACTTTTGGTGCATTTACATGGCAGACAAGTCTGACATGAGAAAAATTCAAAACCATGTTCGCGTGGAATCGCTGATACAATTGTTGATGAAAGATTTTAATCATTGTATAGTGTGATAAAGATCCAGCTGTTTGGTTGTTAAAAGTTTAATAAACGAAATTGATAACTTTTTTATATTTATCAAAACCTAAGCCAGTGGAGAAGTTGATAGCCAAGCAAGACACCGATTTTACTAAGGCGGTCGATTATCATACTTGTGGACGACTAATTGCTGATGATCGAGTGCATGATCATTGTCATTTAACCAGACAATATAGTGGACCAGCACATGACGATTGCAGTTTGAAATTTCGTGCTCCGAATTATATTCCTGTAATGCTGCATACTTTTCGTAGATACGATATCCATACTAATGTTGAAGCATTTGGTGATGCAGAAACTAAAGCACGTTTAAAACTTAATGTTATTAAGTGTATTCCAAATAATGTTGAAAAGTATATGTCAGTTAGACTGTGGAAATTGCGATTCATTGACAGCTTAAAGTTTGTGAAAGGTGGTAGCAAATGTAATAATTTACAAAATTGTTTCAGTGGCAAAGAAAGTTTATTAACAAAATTGCATATATATTAGTGATTCAAATACGCTTGAAGAAACTTCATTAGCCAGCCGATATCAATTTTGTTCATCGTTGAAAAATGAAAATATTACAGATGACGGCTACAATTACGTACATGATATTTGGAATAAATTTAGTTGTAAAACATTTCGTGATCATCATGATCTATGCTTAAAATAGATGTTTTAGTTCCTGCAGATGTTTTTGAAAGTTTTCGTCGGGTAAGTTAAAGCAATTACGGACTGGATCTTTACCGGTACTGTTCTCATAGGTTATCATAGGCATCATTATTAAAAACTAGTAAAATTGAGCTGGAGTTGCCGAAAGACGTTGACATGTTTATAAGCGAAATTAGCGTTGTAATAAAAGAATATGCTTGTGCAAACAACAAGTATACAGTATGGGCTATTATGATAAAGCCATAAAACAAGTAATTATTTACTTAAAATTCAATAATTCATATGATTGGGCAATGCCTCAACCAATTCATAAAGAAAATGTGAGAACAGGAAAAGCTGGAGATCTTGATAATTTTAAATCTGCTAGGCCAGTAACTTCATATAATTTTAACACCGAAGAAGAATTAAGGTTTAAATTAATTAATTCTGCTGCTCGGTATTTTAACATTGTTCCAATATCAATAAAACATGTTGCTGATGGACTTTTTAGATCAACTTATTAAAAGAAAAATAACAGAAAAATCATCATTAAATATTGACGATACAAAATTATTGATAAATCCCTCTTCGTAAGAGAATTGAAGCACCATAACATCACATCATCGCGTATGTATTTTTTGCAATAACTCGGTTATATTTATCACTTCATTTTCAGCAGATGTTATTAAAATCTTATCGTAAGCATAGTTCATTACAATAAGTTAATGTAATCGAAATTGTAACCCAACAGACATCGTCTAACAGCTTTCTCTAAATTACCCTTATTTATTATATCATCTAATTAATGAAATCTTATTTCGCTCATGTTTATATTTTAATTGTCAGATAAAAGTAGTTTGTTATTTCGATTTTTATATAATATTTAGTTTAATTATTCTTTTGCTAATGCAATTATTAGCCCACAACATTATTTCGTCGTAGTCATAAGCAACATTTAAAACATGGCCTTTATGTAGTTGTTTATTTTCTACCTCTGTAAGCAGAACGTTATCATTTGCTCCAGCTAACAACGTACGGTCACCTGACACACTACAGCACTTCCCGGCAACGAAAGCGTGCCTTACAGCTTCTTCAAATTTTCCTTTGTTTAATATTATTCCTCGTTCATGATATCTTGAGCACGTGTTATTTCATTAAATTAGACAAAAGTAAATTATAATATGAATATGATTCTAATATATACAACGACGTTGATAATATGCTGACAACGTCAACATCTGAAAAGCTTACTCAAATGAAAATATATTTGCAACAAACTACAAAGATGATGATATTTTATTTGAATCTGATGACTTTCATTTATCAGGTGGATAAATATGGACAGGAGTGGAAAGGTTGTTTATAACACATAACTCGATAACACATTATTGACCAACGATGATTGGCTAACAAATGT